GAACCCGCGGGCTCAGGCAATCCACTCACCTCAGCCTCCCAAAGGCGCGGAATTACAGGCTGAGCCACCGAGCCCAGCTGGAGTTTCACTCTTGTCACCCACACTGGAGTGCAGTGGCACGCTCATGGCCACCGCAGCCTCAACCTGCTGGACTTAGGTGATCCTTCTGCCTCAGACTTCCAAGTAACTGGAACTACAGATGCACGCCACCATGCCTGGCTAGTTATTTTTGTGATTTATTGTAGAGACGAGGTCTCACCAAGTTGCCCACACTGGTCTTGAACCCCTAGGCTCAGGCAATCCTCTCGCCTCGGCCTCCCAAAGTGTTGGGATTACAGGCTGAGCCACCATGCCCCGCCTGGCTCAAGATTCTAAAGGAGGAGACAATAGAAAATTGCTGGAATTTAGAGGCATAAAGTGTAGAAGCCAAGACCTGAAGTATTCTTGGCTGAAGTGGCTTCTGGCCCCAGGAAACATGGGAGTGACTCCTGGCTCCAAAGCCTCTGTTTGTAATTTGCTAGATCTGCATGTGAGACTTAATTTAAGCTTCACTTTCTTTATTTGTGCAAAGAGGATAAGGGTGCCTACCTGATTAAGGATTAACTGCCTTAAAACTAATTCATGGCCCAGCTCGGTGGCTCAGCCTGTAATCCCAGCACTTTGGGAGTGGATTGGATTGCCTGAGCTCACAGGTTCGAAACCAGCCTGGGCAACTTGGCAAGACCTTGTCTCTACAATAAAAATAAAAAACAGCTGGCTCAGTGGCTCAGCCTGTAATCCCAGCGCTTTGGGAGGCCGAGGTGAGTGAATTGCTTGAGCCGGGGGGTTCGAGGTCAGCCCGGTCAACTTGCTGAGACCTCATCTCTACAATAAATCAGAAAAATTAGCCAGGCATGGTAGCACACACCAATAGTTCTGGTTACTCAGAAGGCTGAGGCAGAAGGATCACCGGAGCCCAGCAGGTCGAGGCTGTGGTGGCCAGGAGCATGCCACTGCACTCCAGTCTAGGCGACAGAGTGAGACTCCAACTCAAAAAAATAAAATAAAAATAAAATGTAAAAAATAGCCAGGCATGGTAGCACGTGTCTGTAGTTCTGGCTACTTGGAAGGCTGAGGCGGAAGGATGCTGGAGCCCAGAAGGTCAACGCTGGGGTAACCATGAGCATACGTGCCACTGCACTCCAGCCTGGGCGACGGAGTGAGACTCCAACTCAAAAACAAAATAAAATAAAATAAAATCTGCAATGATCAACACACAGTAAGCATCCAATAAATAGTAGCTATTATCATAAACCATGTTTAAACAGGGCTTAAAGGTCACCTATAACTTTTTACATTTGTCACTGCCAGGCTATTTCTATCAAGTGCTCATCCTGCCTGTGCATTCACAGTGATGAGAATCTCATGACCTCTGAATAGTCCATTTTATCTTCCCTAGTTCAAGGTGAAATGCCTCTCACTACAGTTTTTGCTGGTGGGTTCTGCTTCTATCCATGGTGGTCATCCAATAGATAAACCTCGTTTTACAAAAGAAGCCTTCCAAATTGTTTAAGAAAAATAACAAAAGTCCTGTGTGGCTTCTTTTGTTAAGGCCAGGCATGCCATGTCTCTTTGATCTGTCCTCACACAATCTGCTTTCACAATCTTTCACCATCATTTACCCTCCAAATTGCCTCTGACCGCCTTAGAATATGAATGTAGTGCTCCAGCCCAGTCCTCCCAGCAAACCACCTTAGCTTAACCGTGTTGCTGCCAATGCAGCCACACTTTGATGTTCACTGAGTTGCCTGTGAACTAAAACTCACAAATCTTCACAGGTTACCATTTGTTCATCACTTCGGGAGTCCTTGTTTTGTCCTTCATGGTTTCCTTCTCCGTAAAAGAAGATTAGACCAAATGACCAGTGAAGTCCCTTGTTAATGATTTACTCTGAAATAATTTCAAACTGACAAAACTAAGAAGAAATGGTACAAAGAAAGCCTTTATCTTTCCCTCCTTATTTTCCCAACTGTTATGATTTTACATTTGCTTCATCTCTGGATAGATGCTCATGATCAATATTCTTCTTATGAACCATTTAAGGGCCATTGCAGGATGTGAGGGTGATCTGGTTGCTACAGCTGTCACCCCACTGATTGCCAGGGTTGATTCAGCTGATCTGGCTAACTAGGTGAGTGTCCCTTTCCTCCCTCATCACTCCACGTGTGTCCCTCCCAAAGCTGCACACTCCATCTAAGAGGGTGACCATCCCTGCTAGAGGAAGACCGTTCTTTGGTCAGGGATATACAAGTGGTCACGCTCCCCTGCTAGAACCTCCAAACAAGCTCTCAAGAGCAAGTGCAGACATGATGTTCCATCACCCTTAAGTACAACAGTGTATAGGTTTCCCCAAACCAAGATTCTTTCATAAGGATAATCCAACATTGAGACAATACCATCAACTGCTCTATGGAATCCATTCGAGACATCTCTTTTTCCTCTGGTCCAGAATCCAATATAGGATTACACATTTCATTTAGTTGACGTGTATCTTTATTCTCTTTTAATCTGTCACAATTTTTCAGGTTTTTCCCCATCTTTCATGACCTTAATGTTTTATAAAGCATATAGATGCCTTCTGTTCTGTAGGTTGCCCCTCAACTTGGGCCCATAGGATCTTTCTTTATGTCCAACCCAGGCCATATATTCTGTCAGGAATATCAAAGAAATGATACTGTGCTCTTGGCTGTGCATTTCATTAAGAGGCATATGGTGCATAACTGTTCCACCACTGTGATGTTAACCTTAATCACCTGGATTGGTGGATACTAGAATTCTCCATTTTAAAGTCACCATTTTCCCCTTTGTAATTGATAAATATTTTGCAGACTATGTTCTGAGAGTGTACCAATATTATATTCCTCATTGAAACCACTCAACCAGTCTTAGGGGA